CTTCCCAGTCCACGCTAAACACTCATCATTATCTGTGTGTGCAAAGAAGGAAATGAACAGTTCATTCAACAGTTCATTCAAGGGAACGAACTGTGGTTATTCAATTCATTGCAAAATATGGAGGTTGGATATGATACATCCTGAGGCTCTTTTGGCTCAGTGATTTTACTGTCATTTGAAAGGGGAAACATTTCCCACATTCAGTGTGGAAAAAACAACAGAGTCTAGAAATAGCATTCAATTCCCCTGTTCCCTTCATGTTGTGTAAGAGAAAAAAAGCAAGAAATTTCTGTTTATGAATTGCCACTGTCCCAAGTAAACTATGTCAAATCTCGAGGAATCAGATTTCTTTTTCATTCGTCAACTTAAATGACTGCATCTCAAATGAAATCAGTGTTTGGTAAGTTAGAGTAAAGAGACAATAGAAACTCTCTGCATCACACAGATCTTCTGCTGCTTACCACAGCCTACCTTTCCTGTCTTTTTCCTGTTGCCCACCTTATCCTTCTGCCTCATACTCCACTCCCTTGCCTACATCTCGTGTTCCTGGAATATTAGTTAACCATACCATGCTTCATCACTGTCTCAGTATAACTCACTCTCTTCTGTATGGTCCATGGCCTCATGAACAGTGGGCACCACACACCCCCACCCCACGGGTAGAGGCACTCAGCAATGTCATTACCACTGTGATGGACTAAACTAATTCTGAAACATGAGACAAAATAAACTTTCCTTGCATTGTTTCTTTCTTCTTGTCTTCCTCTCCGTTCTCCTCCTCCTTCCTCTACCCATCTTTCTTTATTTTCACTTAGCATATGTATACATACATATGTGTATAATGATTTATATGAAACATAAATCCAGTGTTTAGACTTGGGTCTTAGTTCCAAGATAACTGTGCTATATGGAAATTTAAAATTATAGTTAGCTAAAGTGCTTCTGCTTTCAAGTATGAACATTTTACGTAAGGACCACTTACGTCTGCATTTGGACTTTTTTTTCAATATACATTATATTACTTCATGCATTTTCACAGGTTGCCTCTTAATACATGCAAATAGCTTTATTTTATGTTTTTCTTAACTGCTGAATTTCTATACAACAGGTCTTACTAATTCCTCCCCTTGCACCTACTTCTCATGCTCAGCAATGTTATGTGGCTATTAAGTGAAATTTTGTGGCCATTGCTGGAAATACATTGCTTATTTGATCAACTTAAACACTATTCTACCACAGAAACATATTGCATAAAAACTACAGAAAAATGCACGCCATCTCTTAACAGCTGTAAAAGAAAATTATTCTTATGTTTTTAGTATAAAATGCAAAAATCAAAACCTTTTTCTAAGTGGTGTTAGTGCCTGTATACTATCCTTGATACAGAAATTGTGGTACATTTACACAATGGGATACTGCTCAGCAATTAAAACAGGCAAATGGTGGGAACTAGAAAAGATCATCCTGAGTGAGCTATCCCAGAAGCAGAAAGACACACATGCTATATACTCACTTAGAAGTGGATATTGGATACATAATATTGAATAAACATACTAAAATCTGTACACATAAAGAAGCTAAGTAAGAAGGAGGACCCTGGGTAGGATGATCAATCTTCACTCAGAAAGGCAAATGAGATGGACATAGGAAGAGGGAGAAAACAGGGAACAGGGCAGGAGCCTACCATAGAAGGCCTCTGAAAGACTCTACCCAGCAGGGTATCAAAGCAGATGCTGAGACTCATAGACAAACTTTGGACAGAGTGCAGGGAATCATAAGAAAGAAGGAGGAGTTAATATGACTTGGAGAGGACAGGAGCTACATAAGGACCAAATATATCTGGGCACAGAGGTCTTTTATGAGATTGTTTCTCCAACAAAGGACCATGTACAGATATAACCTAGAACCTCTGCTCTGCTTGGATGTAGACCATGGTAGCTCAGTATCCAAGTGGGTACCCTAGTAAGGGGGACAGGGACTATTTCTGACATGAACTCAATGGCTGGCTCTTTGACACCTCCCCCTCCCGAGGGAGGAGCAGCCCTGCTAGGCCACAGAGGAGGACTTTGCAGCCAGTCCTGAAGATACCTGATTAACCAGGGTCAGATGAAAGGGGAGGAGGTCCTTCCCTATCAGTGGACTTGGAAAGGGGCAGGGAGGAAATGAGGGAGGGAGAGTGGGATTGGGAGGGAATGAGGGAGTGGGATACAGCAGGGATACAAAGTTAATAAACTGTAACTAATATTAAATAAGTAAGTAAGTAAGTAAGTAAATAAATAAATAAATAAATAAATAAATAAATAAATGAGCGAGCAGGAAAGAGAACCAGGGAGACCAATTAGGAAGCTATAGAAATGATTCAGGAGAAAGACGATGATAAAGATCAGAGGATAGAATTAGAGTTCGTGCTAGAGTCTGAATGTATTGATAGAGCAAACAGGGAATCCTGATAAATAGGATGTGCGGTAACTCACAGTGCAGCTCTGGGTGTACATGGAATTTTAAAGCCGTAATACTGGGCAGGAAATACTGGACCGGAAGCCTAGAATTTAGAACTGGAATTTTAGTGATATTACACATGTTTACTGCTGTCTGCACCTTCATTTTTGATATCCATAAAATGGGATTCAATAGCTTCCCTACTCTGGAGGCCCAAATGATTATAGTACCTGTACATTGGTTGGGTTGCTTGAGTTGTATCATAGCTCTCTGTGGCATTTGAGAATACAAAACAATTTAATCACTAATACATACTGAGAGAATAAATTTCAAAGTTTACTTCAGAGGGAGAAATCCTTGATAATAGTAAGTAGAGAGAAAGTTGGTTCAAGAGAACGCATGGCGTTTGGGGGATGTTGTTTTGCTTTGTTTTAGTTTAGTCTAGTTTGCTTTGCTTATTTGTCTGTGACAAGGTGTTACTGTATTGGTCTGGCTGGTCTCACCAAGTAAAAATAAAGCCTACAGTGTGTGGTAACAGCGTGGATTTCGTTCCCCTTTGCCCATGCTTGAGAATCACTCTCGGGGTAGGTGACCAATTTGTGAAATTACCAAACCTTGTCTTCAGTTTCAGCTCAGCACCAAGGAATTCTTTTGTTTCCCCCTAGTTATGAATGGACTACCATTACCATGGAATTTTTCTAAAAATTTAGCAATGATACATGTGACTGAATCATAGTGAACCAAAACGTTTACAACTTTCCCATTCCGGCTTTAATGTGCAAAGTTCAAACTATTCTTTCTAATTCATAAATGCACAAAAAAGTCTTCAGATTTGAAATTTCAGAATGAGTGTGGGATGGCTAGTCTAGGTGAGGCCGTAGAAGGCAGCATGAAGAGAGAAAGTGAGACATGACACTCCACATTTAGTTTGTCTGCCTTCTCAGACAAGCATGTTCTTAATTAATCCTCCTTCTCGTCTTTATCTCTCCAACTTGCCTACTTGTATTAAGTCCAAGTGCCTCAATATTCTTATAGGCAACTGATAAAGCATTCAACATGCTGACATAAGTTGAACTATCTGAAGCCTCTACTTGGAAGACGAACTCCAAAAAAGGCAGTGGCCTCAATAAAGGGATGACTGAATGATCAAAAAATTTAGGTAGTGTGGAGACAGCTGTCTAGGTAGGAGTTGCTTTAAGAAAGGCACACGTGAGGCTGACGTGTGCCTGCTGCGCTAAGAGGGCAACACTGGGTAAGATGATCAATGCTCATTCAGAAAGACAAACGGGATGGACATTGGAAGGAGAAAACAGGAAACAGAAGAGGAGCCTACCACAGAGGGCCTCTGAAAGACTCTAACCAGCAGGGTATCAAAGCAGATGCTGAGACTCATAGCCAAACTTTGGGCAGAGTGCAGGGAATCTTATGAAAGAAAGAGGAGATAGTGAGACCTGGAGGGGACAGGAGCTCCATAAGGAGAGCAACAGAACCAAAAAATCTGGGCACAGGGTCTTTTCTGAGACTGATACTACAACCAAGGACCATTCATGGATATAACCTAGAACCCCTGCTCAGATATAGCCCATGGCAGCTCAGTATCCAAGTGTGTACCCTAGTAAGGAGAACAGGGAATGTCTCTGACATGAACTCAGTGGCTGGCTCTTTGACAATCTCTCCCTGAGGTGGGAGCAGCCTTGCCAGGCCACAGAGGAGGACAATGCAGCCAGCCCTGATGAGACTTGATAAGCTAGAGTCAGATGGAAAGGGAGAAGAACCTCCCCTATCAGTGGACTTGGGGAGGGGCATGGGAGATGAGGGTGGGAGGGTGGGGTGGGGAGGGAATGTGGGAGGGGCTACAGATGGTATATAAAGTGAATAAACTGTAATTAATATAAAAAAATAAAAGAAAAAAGAAAGGCACACATGGCTTTATTACCTATACTTCAATTGACCCATCTTCAGTATTGTTCCAAGACCATTTGAATGGGTCTTGTGAGTAAATATTACTTTCACAATAGCACCAATGAACTATTTGTCCTTTTAACTCTCATTCTTTTGCAAGAAATGTGTAGCTGACCAGAATCTCTAACATGTGACATTTTCAAAACTGACAGGCCCACGTGCTTACTATGTCTTCCTTTTAAAATGTATGTTTCCATCTCAAATATGGTAGATATCACAGTACACAATTAATTTTACACAAAAACTCTTTGCAGGCCTCAATATGTCCTTGAACGATGAGAAGGGTGAGACCTGAGGACAACATGCTTTCACTCCTCTTACCTGACCCAGCAGTGATTCGGCTGAGGTACAAGAAACACAGCAAGACAGAGTGCTAAGTCTTGCTGTGCATGAAACCAGCTGAGCTAGTCATTTGTGAAGTCTGGTATTTAAGGTAAACCAAGAAAGCATATCAAGAAACTCTGTAACTCGTAGAGCCAGGTCAAAAGACACTCAACTAGAGTAGCTCTCAGTGACCACATCAGAGACACCTCATGAAGAACTTTATGAGTACGCAGAAAGGTCAACTGAGTATTTCACACACAGAGAGAAAATCCAAG